GGCCCTATGCTATTCCACTGCTGAGTACTGCGCCGCAGTATGGGAGAGGTCACCCCATGCCCACAAGGTCGACGTGGAACTGAACAGAGCCTGTCGTACCATCACAGGCAACCTGAAGGCTACCCCCCTGTCAGCCCTGTACATACTGGCAGGAATCTGCCCTCCTGGCATCCGAAGAGATGTCCAAGCAAGGACAGAGCGGGAAAAACAACAGAACGACCCAAGACACCCTCTACACGGGCACCAGGAGACACCCCGGCGACTGAGGTCCCGCCGGAGCTTCATGACTGTCCAAGGCCTCGAGGGGAAGACACCAGAGTCCCTCAGGGCCGATCTGTGGAAGAGAAATGACCCGAACAACAACAGGGCACTCCCACCCCCCAGCGAGTCCCTGCCTCCAGGGGCTGACATGCCTAGAAGGTCTTGGGTCGCCCTGAACCGGGCAAGGGCGAAGGTTGCAAGGACAGCTGACAATTGCAACCTGCTACGGTGGGGAAAGTCAAACAGTGCAGCCTGCAGCTGTGGCGAGGACCCCCAAACCCTACAACACCTGATGAGAAACTGTAGACTCTCGCCGACCTGCACAGACTCAGACCTCCAGGAGGCCAGTGAAGCTGCTCGGACTTTTGCTGAGAGAAATAGCGACAAGCTATGATGACCATGAGCACTACTTCTGTATACTCTTAATACAAATTGTTTATATTTCGTTCACGCAAACAACCCGGCCGGGCCCCGACTTGGAAATGTGACCGTGCCCTAAACGCATCTGCCCCGTTTAAGCTACTGTCGAATACACGTTATGTAATTAATTTAAATTGTGTATTAATTATTATTTTACGATTTGCCACGTAATGGGTCATTCCGTTATGCTGCTTCCATGTATCATCATGATACTTACTAGGTGTGGCAGCATTCACTGTAAGCTGTGTTTCGGGGCTGAATTCGTTGAAACCCCCTGTCGCTGCAGGCTCCGTTAAAGCAGTGTTCAGGTTGATCTTCACTCCACATTGGTACAGCCCGTTGTCATCGGGGCTGACATTGGCGAAGTAATAGTCACCATTCTTCTGTGACGCGTACCTTCGTACGGTGTGCGCAATGAAACTGGTCTGGCCAGCCTCAATCCAGTGGTATACAAGACCTTGAAAGCAAAGAGAACATTGTATTCCCAAAGCGAACAAACAAATACGACCTAGCAACATTATTATTCAATTCGTTACGTTGACATGCAAAACTTTTAGATGACTGTTTCGACGCATCATGACTTCTTTCCGCGGTGGGTTACAAACGTAATATCTTAGATCATTTGCTAGCGCTGTTCGTTACTTACTGGGGTATGCGTTGGGTTGCATACACTGCAAAAGTGTGCCGTTTCCGGAAGTAGTTGTAACGACCGGCCGTGGACCTGAATCGAAGTTGTCAACAACTGCAAGACGGAGAAACAAGAAAGTCACTACAATACAGTTCACATCTCTGTTGCACATAGTACCCAAGTACCTGTCAGATTAAGTTTCAGAGGCTAGGTTGAATTAAGCTTAAGCTGATCAACAATCTTACAGATACTTTTACGTATACGTACCACAGCCGATATCACACTGAAAATCATCATGCGGTTTCAGTCATGAAACAAACCCATAACCTTGAATTGGCCTTCGGGTCTTATAAAGAATAAACAACAAATGACTCACAGGCGAATGTTAGGTTAGCGCCGATGCTGACCACCCTGCCGTACTCGTTGTAAGCCTGACACCAGTACCTTCCCTGATCCGTGGCCGTCGGCACAGGGATGGTCAGGGTCCCGCCTGATGTCTGGAAAGGAGGCTGTCTATTCATCTGCAAATGAAAAATACAAACGTATATTTTCTTCATCAAGATATTCCTACTTTTCTTGTGATGATGTTGAATATTCGTATATGTTGAAGTTCATATATAGGCCAGTAATGTCAAAATACGTGTTGTTGGTAGTACACACTTGTTTTCTTGTCCCAAATACCATTTCAATAATGCAGCAATAGAAGGAGTATAGAAAGCATAAATGCTGTAATATATATATATATATATATGGTTTTATGCAGTTATCTACTTACCGTATCGAGGTCAACATATTCCTTAAACCACAGATACTGTGGTACTGGGTCCCCTGTCGCCCTACATTGGAACGACACGCTGGTTATGCCGGAACTTGGGTTAATCACCACGTCTGTGGGTTCAATTGTAAGCTTTGGAGCGATGACTTGAGCTGGGTGGAGTGGCGCTGTAGATTGATTGAAATGTACAGTTGTTTATTATTCTATTGCTTCGTGCGAGAATCCATGGTATCTAAAATAAGTACTTTGAGTTCGGTTCATAGCTAATTTATATATATGTCATGGTAAGGATTGGATATTTGGTGGCAAACAGCGCTTTCTGAACGGCTTTTTGCTATTAAAACAAACTGTTGTGGTCGCGTTATTTACAACATCACAGCTGTGAGAGACGCCCAACCTTTCTACTTTGTGTCTGATGATCGCATGTTGACAAACCGGTCTTTCTATGATACTGTAGACGCTTTCTCCCAACATTATAATTTTCTGCTTCGACGCTCAGACAAGCCTGGTGTCCTTTAATCGGGGCCATTCAAAACGTCTGAGAGGATAGACTCCCAGGGGTTAAATGGAGGAGTTAAATGTCTGGTAAACTTGAAGAACTAAATGTCGTTTTATACACATCAAGGACAATTACTAGTAGTACGGGGATTGGAATTTAAGAAATAAAAATTAAGGAAAGGCGTTAGTGGTATTGAATGTTATAAAATGCGCAAGGACTGCAAAAGGAAAACGCCTTTTACTTGGGAAGCTTTTAGGCTACAATTATTCACGTGTGTAGAAAACAATGACTAAGCTGAAGTATCACAACAATCAGCCAAGAGCATGGCTCAGGATTGTTTTTCTCGTGTCTCCGATTCTGAGTCACCCTCAGACCTGACCTCACATCGTTAATTAGCATTACGGCTGGCTTTGCAACGCATTTCATCGGACAAACAAGTTTGAACCCAGTGAGGAGATTGGTCTTAGGGGGCACCGTTTCGAGGGCACTGTTCCCATTAGTAGTAACATTATGTGTTCTGACGACCACAACGTTGTCGTTTACTATCGTGACATTTTACTGTAGACGTCTGGGAAAACATTTACGGACTATGTTTTCAGGGCCTGGGACTGTGGGAGGAATATAGTTCTGATGAAAATTTCTGGCCTTGGGAAGCCGGGCGGATGAGCTCACCATAGCCCGAGGCCTCGTGTTTTCGAAGGGGAAAGTTTTTGTAATGAAATGTTCTAAAGATTGGACCAAGTTGACTAAAGGCTCATATGTAAGTCAGACATTGAAAGCTTTCTTTGTAAGTTCTTAGTCATTTATAGCTACTAAACGCTGACGATCACAATGAGTCACAGTCTAATCACTATATATTGGTTAATTGTTATGTCTGTTTTACTGCTGTTTGTATGAAGTACGAGCATTTCACTCCTAGCTATAGTATGTTAACATCGCTGACGAAATTAAATGTGTAGACATATTAAATACACTCACTGACACCACTACATTACTATTAGCGCAACCCTCAGATTGTCCCAGCAAAACCCCATACAAATTGCCAGCATTTCTGTAACTACCATTGTAACCGTGAGTCAGATCTACGGGCCACTCAATCGTAAAGCAGCGGTAAACTAGACTGGTGCCATCATCTACTGCCCATCACAGATCATTTCTATCCAGCTATGTTTTCTATACAACTCGGTGCTAAAATCTACTAGTATACAACGAGCTTTCTGAAGTCACTGGCCAAGCCACACAAGCTGCACTGCCATCGTTTTCGCAAGAAAATGAGAGGGAATTCAAGGATGTATTGACAAGATCTGCCCTTGTAGGAGACAGAACTGGAAACCAGAAGAAGCACCGAGGGTCAGAAAACCCTGGTGAGTAAAAACGCCCTCTGAGTCTAGATCTGTTATAGAATGGAGAGACTAGGAAGCATATTGTGGTACTATAGACATAGTAAGTTGCCAAGTTCACAATTTTGATTCAGTGTCCACACACAATGATGCTACCGCACTACTAGCTGGCTAGTTTGTTACTGTTAGCAAGCAAAGCATCTTGAGATTATGCGACAACTTGCACAAACTTGAGTCATTGCATCGAACAGCACCAGCAAGATCCCAGCAACAACAATTACACACTCCATCATCACAACTCACCAATTGTCGACAAGTTCATCAGAAGGGATGGGGACAAGTCATGAGGAACCAGAAGTGTTGGGGAGGGATAAAAGATCACTTTGTTAATCATGGGTTATCAACCAAAGGAGTAACCAGATCAAATCAATAACAGTAGATTTTTAAAAAATCATGCAAGTAGAAGGTAAGAAACATGAATTTGACTTACCCCCTGTCGTGCCCAGCCCTGTGCACGTTATCGCCAGAATCACTGATATCCACATGTTGGTGACCTGAATAGGATAGCAGGAAATGTCCTCGTATTCCAAACGTATATTACAACATGGGAATTGGTAGTAGTCTTTATCTGTATTCAGTTTGGCAAAATGTTGCATGAAAGATATTGGACGCAACACACACACACACACACACACACACACATATATATATACATATAACATATACAGACTAGGCAAACACATGTACAAACCAAAATGCTATTGTATTATGTATTGTGTTGTGTTGTGTTGTGTTGTATAAATGAATGTTATTGTATGTATCATATCATGTAAAACACTCGTAAATGCCTAATTCAAAATATGATAGTGTTAACTGCTATAGAGAATTGGTCCAGTAGGTTAGGCTATGAAGATACTTAAAAGCATCGATGTGATTTGAAAGGCAACCTTGACACAAGTCGCCCCTGCGTGCTGTATTTTCACAACAACACAAGTGACCTCACTCCTGAAGTGCATGTAATATTGTTTTGTTAGTGCCCAGACACCCTATCATTTAGTAACGTTATGTACTATAAATTGACATTTGCACACTTCGTGACATTAATATACACAATCTATGGGACAGGCTCAGCCGCTGGATGAAAAACTTAATATGCATAAATTCATTGCTACCAAGGCATAGCTATTCGATCACGATGACATTAATTATTGTTAATGACGATAGAGACGTTTTCAGTACAGTGTGGCCTAAAGGGATTCAACCAGAAAACGCGACACTTATGTCTTGCCAGAAAAGCTCTTTTCATAACTAGAGCGACTTAAAAGTCTGTTTTTTTTTGTTGCCCACAAATCTAACAACAACAAAGACCACATCTGCCCTGCGGGTAATCAGTAGATACAGGCGGTAGAGAATTTTAAAATGGCGGACACAAGGTTCGTTATTACCCATAGAGCATTGTAAACATTGCAACTCGCGCCCACCCCATTCGTTCGTGTACTCAGTCTTGTCGTGAAGTTTTTTTTTGTCCTACAGCTTTCAGGTGAATGGCTTCTGGCTGTTACGAAAATAGAGGTCTGTACGACCAAATGTGCCCAGAATACAGCAAACAAATGAGCCCAGACGTTTAATGAACAGAAGACACACGCTGTCCATAACGGTAACTGATACAGCTATTTCAGCCGGGTCGGGTGTTGTTGTATTAGAGGAGCTCCTCTTGCTTATCGTGTAATAGTCATCCTTAAGAAACAAAGCACCAGTAGCGAATGAAATATACACAATTTGTCACGTTTTATCGTACCTAGGCGTGAAAAGACCTCAAGTATTTAACCAGTCCAAGGCCAAACTTTCCGATCCGGGGGGGCAGTCTTCATTCTTCAGCCCGGTGTTCCAATGCCCCATACGTTCCAACGTAGGGCGAGGCTTGACTGAACATAGGTGGAGCGTTTGGTACATGGGGATATCGGGTCATATGGGTGTCGGAATATAGGGTCGTGACCGTGGTTCAGTGTTTTACTGCTCTGAATGTATCAATGCAACTACCTATCCACCATGCTTATGAATTCAGAACCTTGATAGTCTCAAGCAGTATTGAATGACTTATTTTCCATTCTAAGGAGGTGAAAACACTGCAGACCTAGCAACTATAAGTAGCTGAACAACGATTTGAAATAGTAGCCACTCCCCTTTTAGTAGCAAACGACACTGTATCTTTTGACTTGACAAAATTTTTACCGAAATTATCCAATTCAATTCTCAAGAGCACATGTGTCATACATAAGATATAGCTGTATCTAAACGTGTTCGTTTTGCAAGTGTTCAGTCATTGAACCTAAATGTTTAGGTTAATAATCTAGGTGGCACTGTAGTTATTCTGGTATGCACAAAACCCGTCGACATTTGTCTGGAGGAATGCTCACAAATCTAGGTGTTGACGAGATTTACAATCAGATTAAGGGAAATGGAGAGCTGTAATGAGGAGGAACGTTATCTTACCTTTTACGTGTGTCTGTGGTGTTCACAGCCTTTGCTGAAGACGCCGAGACGTGAAGAACGGCCACTGCTGTACGGACCGTCTTACTAGCCTCCCTCTTTCAAATGAGAGATGATCTTTGAACAGTCCTATTGTCAAGACGGCCTTCTAACACCGCACCCAGAAGCAATTATCTCACAGGCAACGCGATGCGCCATGACTTGTCCGACAACTAGACCGGGGAGTCATTCCGTTGCCATCAATCTATGAAAAAATTATCAAAATATTTTTTCAATATTATCATTTATCGAGACAGCACATCTGCTATATATGTCTTTTTTTCAGCAGATAAAGGACACCATGATCCGCTGCTCTTGTGGAAGCCCGATTTTATCTCCGGGCAAATATTCCAAGACGTTTAAGCGTATTGTCATCACAAATAGTTAACGCCCGAAGTTACAACGTTCTGTCATTATAAGGCAAAGGTCAAAACCGTTGCCTTATGCCCCTTTGAAGGCCAAAATCCGTTAACCTTGCAGCGGAAGGAGTGTCTAGAAAACTGCCATCCTAATTACTAACAAGAGCGCCATTCTTCGCCCATAGATGGCTTCAGGCTACGGTGAAGGGAACAATTGACAAGGCATCAACATGTAACGACGCTTCTTCGTTAGCATTCCAGGTGTTCAGGGGTCACCGGTGTGAACTGTGATTTATAACTGAAGTCATCTATCTGTCAATGAGGTGTTTGATACACTTCTAGAGTTCGCTGTGGTGGCGAAGGCGTGACGAATGCATGAAGACTTTGTCAAGATTTGTAGTGGTCCGGGATGAAGGTTAACAGCCAGGACCTATACATTCTGTATATCTTACCAAAGTTACTTTTAGCAAAGTGTAGCCAGTTCGTAATGTACATAAGTAACCTCACCATTGTTTGAGCTGTTGGAATGAAGAGCACACAGAACGGATATGCTTAACCGATTTCTGCACCAACACCAAAATTTTAGATTACCTATTCATTAATTAAGTATTATAGCTCAGGGCACTGTAGCCAAGAAGAAATGTGCCCAGGCTTAGACTAGTTTGGGACGCTACCGGTAGGGGTCGCATTACAGTCACAATCCTTCGGACGGGCCGTGAAATTCATGCATTCAAGAACAGACACACATGGAATGCGAAATGCAATCCCCTAACTATCCAGACTAACAGGCTAACTCATGATGACCAAATGAAATAAAACTTTATTCACGCGACAAAAATGACAACTTAAGGTCTACATGTCTGTTGAAATGGTACAACAAAAGGTACAAGGATACAACAAATATAATGATACAAGGATACAACAAAAGTACATATCACCACATGGTTCTTGTCAAGGAATTATTATTTTAGATCTAGACTATGCGAGATGGGTGGACTATATCTCATCAATTAGTACTACATGTATTTCCTAGTCTGCAAATTGGGAGTAGTATTACATTAACTTATAATGTTAACATGTAAAATGTATACCCTATATTTTATGCAAAGCACTTGATATATAAGGTACATTCTAGAGTATTAATACACACGTCAGCTATCTCTTTAGACTACCTTCTCGATTAACATTAAATAATCACCTAAACTTACTACCCAGTATCACGCTGAAATCACTCCATTCAGACCTGTTTGTTCTCCGAAGCACCCCACGCTCTAACGCCCTACTCCACAGTTGTGACTTTGATCTCGCACGACACGGTCCCGCCGTCAGGTGCACGTCCCTGGCAGGTGTAGGTGCCGTCCAGGTCAGGGGTCATGCAGTCGATGTGCAGCTCGTGTAGAAAGCCGTCTGAAGTCGCCCTGAAGCCGGGGCGTCGGGCGAGGCTCTCTCCGTTATACAGCCACTGAGCACCGTCAACTATAAATGTATGAAATGTATGTAGCTAGTTGATGAAATTCCACCGCCTTTGATATTTTTTACAATCATTGGTGTGCTAATTATACACAGACTTAACGATGCCAGGCGATTCGAGTCAGTCTTGCTTGTGAAGGATGAAGGTTAGAAACGGAGAACTCTATCTCTTGTCTATTAACAATAACGACCTTACCTTCTCCGCTCACTTCCAAAATGACAGGCATGCTGACTGGCACCACGGCAGACGACACTGCGGACATGAGTCTCCCCGGCGCCGGTCCCACAGACCCCAACTCCTGTCCTGCGTCCATTTTCACGTTAGGACCTAGAAGGATAGGCATTGTATACACGGAATGATGAATTTTTACATAAAATGGAACCATTGATTCTTTTATACTAGTAATTATTCAATCCATTTACCCTTGAGAAAGTATAACAATCATGCCTGATGATGAAAGTTTAGCACTTGGTAACAGCATAAATGCATGTTTAACATGAGCAAAAACATGTTAAACATATAATTTGATGCTTTAGTTAGAAAAAATGTGGTACAGGATCTTAAATGACACCAAGAAGTGGCTGAATAGTATTAGTATCCATTACATCCACTTCTAGTAAGTTGTACAAACATCTGTGTACTGTTAAGTATTATGAAATCTCAACAATAACAAATCTGTATAGGTGAGAAATGAGCATATTGAAACTGATGTGTCCTTACTCAGATCTATGCCCGAGTTCAGTCCTTCTCCAGTGGAACCAGTGGTGGTGTTGGCCTTCATGGCACTCTGCATGGGCACGGCACTCTTCACTGTGGCAGCCTCCTCATCCATGATCCTCGTGTTCAGGTTAACACCCTCGCCTGGAGTTGAAAGAACATAAAGAGACTAGTTAGTATCTTTTACACAGGCTGATTATCAATATTTAAATCAAAACTAGTGAGAAGAAGCCAATAATGTATGGTATGTTTATTGAATATCTAATCATTGAAGAAGTTATTAGTCAGAGTACTTCATCTCTCGTTACTACATAATGGAGTCACCATGAACTCCACTATTACATCTGATTCAACATATCTCTGAATAGGGTAACAAAACCAGCCATTTGCAATACACACAGGAGCCTTACCCTCGAGAAGGTCAGCAAGATAGGCTGACTTGTCGTCTGTTCTGAGGGCGGTGCAGAAGAGACCGAAGTCCCGATCACTCCGGGAGGGCAGGAGGTGGAGAATCCGTTTGTTCTTGTCCTCGCGTGACTTCGCACCGAGACAGCAGTTCGCCATGTGTCCGGTGAAAACCTGGAGAAAGGAAATTGAGTAATAAAGCTAATGGATAAAGGTGAAAATCTAGCCTTTACATTTTAATAGGATTACGTTGTTTGAAAGAACTATTTCCTGAAATGCTTTGTCCAATTACTAGTATGCCATGGGTAAACATAAGAAGTTCGAAGTATCACTCATATTATCTGTAATCAATGCATTTCTGATCTTAAAGTCAAATTAGTAGGGTAAGATGACCAGTGGCTGTGTCTTTTAGCTGTAAATGTTCGAATATTAAAAGATTCATGAATTGGACACACGTTCCCCCTTCTCCCTTAGGAAGAAAGACACCCTTGGGCTGACACGTCTGACTGACTCGTGGAAACCTTTATATATGGCAGTTATATAATATAGCTCTAACAAAAGGAATCTTCAGGATCGCCCTGTCTTGGATTGAAATGTGCTTGGAAGTTTAACAATAACCTACGTGATTGCGTGACATATTACATAATACCAATAAGGTTTAAGCCTTCTTCATAATACTTACTTTATTATTAGACAAATGTTCCACGATGGTGTCGGGATCCATCTTGTTAACCAGCAGGTTTCTATGGTTGGCTATCTGCTTCTTCTTGTCGACTGAAAGCCCTAGAAATGAAATAAAAAAGGTTCTATGGGATGATAATAAGAAAATTAACTGAAAATTGATTGAGTGGAAGAAAGATTCTTGTTTTGTTCTACGCTAGATCTCTTTCCGCTAATATCATATCTTTTTCTACCTCAATGATCATATTGAACTCGTATGTAAGTCAATTTACACATACTAGTAATACATTTCAAAAGTGAGACGAAATTATCAGTTCATAACATCACTAGACTCACGTACAAAATATTAGAAGTTATTATTGTTTCCTCCTTGTGACTTAGTTTAAATATTAGTGTATGTCATATGTAGATTACTCTTAGTACTACTGTTGGTGTTTTCCATACATTGTACCCTGTGCAGTTGTTATGCAATTAAGTTCATTCGTTATTTCATGTCAAAACTGTCACGCTTGTAAACTCCTGTTTTCTCGGGTACGTTTACAAAAGACCTAACGTGCTGTTAGACCTACCCTCTCCTTCCAGGGTGTCCGCCAGCCAGTGGAGCTTCTCCTGTTCCCTGAGACTCGCACAGAGGCAGCCGTATGATTCATCGTCGTACGAGGGCAGGGCGTCCAACAGCTTCTTTGACTTGTCTTCTGGTGTAGGCTGACTAAAGGGGAATCGGAAAAAAGGATGACGAAATTACGACAAAGAACATTGGTTGTATACAATTTGCCGTTAGTTTAAATCTATGTTTATATCCACAGGAAATACGGATAAAAGTATCTTATAGGTGTTAATTGGTTTAAGGCATGCAATATAATGACATGCACACAAACTAAAGTATATCCACGTAAATCTTGCGAATCAATAGTTCGATTCATGGCCCGACAAACACATGTTGAAGGCGTAAGCCTATGGTGCAGTGGGATTAGGAATATGGAAATAAGAAAGGTCACCTTATTACGGCGTTAAGCGTGGCAGAATGGATAACGCCTTCCTGGGCCAGGTACGATGCGACTGTGGTCGGTGATTTCATGTTGTCGATGATAGTATTCCTGTATGTCCTCAACATGGCCTGACGATCCGGACTCATGGTCGAGAATACTACGGAGGTTGGGGGGAATTCGAAGAATATCACCATCTATCAATTACAACTCGTGTGATCTATAGTGTATGAATTGTTTGCGCAGATCTTGTTAATGATAACCAAAAATTTGTTACAGGGGGACAACTACAAGCAAAATAGTCATAAAGTCTCCACGTTTACAGACGAAAAGTAAACTAGACTCGTCTTGAAATCACAGAACCCACGTATTACAGAAAAAGTAGTTTTCATTCTACCTCTTGAAAAAAAATTCGACAACTGCAAAATACAAATGTATTAGGACAATTAGCATTTGAATTTAGATAGTAGCCACGCCTCCCACATTGTAAATGTATTTATTCAATGTGTTCTTGTCATCATGGTTGTCTATCAAACCTCGTTTGTCGCTTAGATTTAAAACAAACCTTTAGAGCGAGTGGACATCCTAGCATCAGAGGCAGCAAAGCTTATTGTCGTGTTGTCCAATTTGTTCTTCTTCCCCATTAACTCACGATACTTCCTTTCTAGTCCTATTTTGTCTCGCACAGGCTTGCATCGTTCTTCACAGAAAAAGCAGCAGACAATCTGGGTGCGCAACAACGGCGTGATCGCTTTATCAATACTGCTAAGAATGTAATCTTTATTTACTTCACCGATAGATTATCCTTACCAGATTTTTTCACAAAAAGATAACTGTTAACAGTTATTGTACTAACGCTAACCCCTTCAGATGAACCACGAATTACATTGTAACATGATATACCACTGTCGACAATGACAAAATTCCCTAGTAATGGTTCGTACATTTTATCACATTATGTTTACATTATACATAGAAGCCTTACCAGGACTATCCACAGCACTAAGAAGAAGAGAAATGGTATAACCCAGGCGAGTGCTATCGCTCCAAACTCTCCAGTAATTGCTGGATTTGAGCCCCCTGTAGATGGTGAAGTTGACTCCATGATCACTCCTCAGGCTTTTCAGATGTGCGGTCCACCTACTCTCAGTCTTTGCTCGAGCTCGCAGCTGCGATGTCTAGTAAAGGGGGTCATGTGATGTAGGTTATTCTGGTGAAGACATAGACAGGACAGTTGCAAAAGCCCTTGAGGGTTTTCTCTCTCACTGGACAATGCTCTTGAATAGTCTTATGCATGTGAAACCACAGAAGTCCGTGAAGACAAGTCATTTGTAAAAACCATACACGGAGTATTTTACTCCGCCGGTCATGTCCGGACTCATGGATAGGTAGCTACTATACGGATGAATATACTTCTCGAGTATTAAATGGGGCTGAGAACACATGTCTACCATCTGGATCGCTGCCACCGTAGAGGTCTAACACGGGAGGGCTGGTCACTGTTTAAGGGCATTGACAACGTTTGACTTTGAAGTGACAATGGTCGGAGGAGACACGTACCGTAAAGTGACGACTGCAGCAGGTTGTTTTCCTGGGTGCCCCTTCTGTGACCTCAGTCAGCAGGTGTGCATCTGAAGTTCCCAGCCGCTAGCCGTTAACGAATCTTCGTCACTCACGACAGGGACCAATCACTGCAGGCTTCTGGGAACGAGAATGACAACAGGGCCTCCCACGTGCCCAGGATCGGAGAAAAGTCTATTCAAGTTGTCCAGCCCACCTTTGGTGAGGAGATAATCCTACATACGGCCAACTGTAGATGTTGTCTTTGCAACAATGATCCAAGAGGCACGCGGAAAAGAGGTTGGACGGGTTGGCAACATTCCACTTGTCTGTGCTTGTCTATGAAAAGCGTGGCGCTGTCATGACAACGTGACGGTGGTCACCTTTATTGACACTGCGTAACACCGTTTACTGATGCCTACAGGGCCTCCCATACTGTGCTGTTTGACCCCTCATGGTCATATGAACCTAACATCGGGACACCTGCGATTGTTTGCGTTATCTTCCAATCTCTCACTAAGAATTCCACAGACCAAGGCATGGAAATGGTATTGTTTCCACAAACGGCTAAGCATGTTTTATGTAGTATGGACGAAAGCTCGAGTGTTTTCTTTCACAGACGCAGTCTTCTTCTGCTGATAGTTTGAGGGGGTTTGTTTACACCTGTACTTTCACACTGACCCGTGTCAGGTGTGGTAGGTACAAGAATACCACCATGCATTTTTCAGGCGCCAGCTTGTTTCTGCAAGTCATGCATTGTACCAGACAATTGCAAGCGTTAGAATTGGCCGGAGGGTATAAAAGGTGTGTTCACTGGGCAGAGGGGTCATGCACTTTGAACTCTTGTATTGCAGAGAGGGGGCAGATGGGTTGATGTTAAGACCATCTATGTCCAGTCATTTTTTCTACTTCCGGATATGATTCACAAGACAATCTTTTTTTGTTAAGTTTATTCTCTGGCAAACTTGCAACAATTTCAAGCAGCACTATGCACAGACACTGTAGATTCGAGAGAGACTTACTAGCCCACCTTGGCCTTCTGAAAACGTCAGTCAGAATCAAACTATTCGGCTGTTTTGTCACACTACTGTTTCAAGTATGGTGGAGTGCCGCTGGAGTGCTTTGGTAACATCCCAGAAGTCACGACAGATGAGATAAACTCGACTACGCTTCCGTGCATCTAACGTTACTGTTCCGCGTGAATCTATTGTCAAAACACAGTGAGAATACCTAACATACATGTACATGCTTGAAGATGTACTAAGCTCATCGTAAAACTAATCATCCTATGTCAACTGGAAACCTTGCTAACAAAATGCGCTAAGTCTGAAAGACAGCTCTCTGCTCTCAGCATACAGTATCAAACTTAAAACTCTGCAGACAGTATGCTTCAACCCTAAACAAAATATATTCTTAATTAAATTCATAACGACTTATCGAGCATCGGTTTGCTCTATCAATTAGGTTAACAAACATCAACGTAAAAATAGCTGCATTGTTTGAAGCCAAGAAAAATATCAAACATTGAAATACTGGCATCTACAGTATCTACACGACTTAGTCCATGTAACTATCAGCTCCGTTAAGTAATAATGTAGGCTGCATTTTACCGATCCATTGAAATGTTGACTCTAAATCTGTGCGACACCCCAGAAGGGCGAAACCTCTAATAAACTGCGCTCCTCTAGTATTACTAGTAATTGGTGGTCTTAAAATGACTTGTACGCGGTCTATGTCTGCTGGTAATTTAACGTTACATGGTCGACTTTAAAAAAAAGGCTACCACTAACATCACTGTCAAAATACTGTTCGAATGAGCTATGCTAATAAGTAGCCTATTCCAACAGCGTGTTGACTTTGATATCGCACGACACCGTCCCACCATCAGGCGTGTTGCCCTTACAGGTGTAGGTCCCGTCCCGGTCAGGGGTCATCCTGTCAATGAAAAGCTCGTGGGTGAAACCATCTGATGTGGAGCGGACGCCCGAGGATTGTTGGATTGTCTTTCCGTTGTACATCCATTCAACGTTGTCAACTGAAAAAGTGTTAATCATATCTCAGTAAAAATGCATTTATTCGTTAAAATCTAGATCTTTGCATCAAAATTAGTCAAAACATTCAACGCTGAGTATCTACTACGCATGATAATTTTGTGCACAGCAAATACCCATTAGGCGTAGAATTAAGACGTGTCGAGAAGGATTATGTGCAGATATGTAACTAGACAGATGAATACAATTTTTGTACTGAGGAACTGCTGAGAAACTAGCTAAGAATAGACACGTACCTTCTCCCCGTACTTCTAAGATGACAGGGTGGTTGTTTGGCACCGTGGCGGAGGAAGCGGACATCAGCGCCCCCTGCTGGCCCACAGAACCCACCACTTTCACCTCGTCCATGTGCACACTGGGAACTGGAAAGAACACATGTCCACATAAAAATTGCATCTTCTAAAAATCCCACTTTTCCTATACATGTATATGTATTCAACTTATGTACTGTATACCCATGTGATCTGTAGTCCTTATCATAAGTGAAACTTAGTGATCATTGTGAGACATCTCCATCATGAAGTACTTATCGATATAACAACTAAGTGCGGCATTTTGATCAGACACAGCTCTTTTAACACACCTGAAAGACTCATCTGCTGCCACTGGGGGGCGTTGAGCATTCCTGACCCCGGCCTCAGGGTCCCGCTGGTCTGCCTCATCTCCTCACTCAGGACCTGCTGGTTCAGGTCCACTCCTTCTCCTGAAACACGTAAAGCAACATTCTTATCTGACGTGAAGCATCGATCTAAGGATGCTTGAGTGGACTGGTGATAGTTATCTGCATCTGATCTCTCTCTCTTTTTGACGTCATATGTGCAAGCAATCACAGGCACATTTTCAGGGGGTTTATCTGTGCATAGGGAGCTGCAGGTGCCCAATGCATGTCGCATACCTTAAAACTGAATTGAATAGAGCGCCCGCCCAATGCTTAAAAGGTCACCATGTAGTATGATTACCACAGTAGTCATATGTTAAGTGCAACTGACACAAATATCGGAATCACACACTTTTACTACTTTCACTACACTTAATTTATTGCGTGCTCTGGATATAAAGAGATAATAGTTTCTGCTGTACATATATATATATGTAGGAACATAGAATAACTTATCAGATATCTATACAGACACTACTCGTATCTGCAGAGTACAAGTTAGTGCACACTGTACGCCGTACAAACCAACGCAGCCCAGACAAATGGCACCACCCCATCATTGCCATAACCAATCATCACTACCATCTACAGAATACAAGTGCACACGTAAACGACTATGAAAACATCTTTCTCACGTTTGGTACCCTCACCCTGAAGGAGGTCACCAAGGTAGGCCGTCCGTCCGTCCGCCCTGAGCCCGTTGCAGAAGACGTCGAAGTCCGCGTCAGTGCGATCGCGAGCCTGCATCAGCTCCAGGATCCGTCTGTTCCTCTCCTGATTTGAGCCTGCACTCATGCAGTACTGCGCCATGTCGCTAGTGAACACCTGGAGATGTGTGTCGCAGAAACGCAATGGATTGACCTGTCTTAATCATGTGTAAGCAGTACTTATCCTTAGATATGCTTCGAAAGGTCTACAGCCTTTAAACAGATACAATATTTTTATAAAGCAACATTTACAATCAATACCGGGGAATGATGGCTTATTGTCTCAACAGAAAGCAATTCAGGAAATACGGTATGTCATAAACATCATTCTGTGTCGACGTCTCTGTGCTACATGTCTTTTGCGCACACTCCACAGAATTTGTCAGCAGTGATGTGAAGGGACTCTGAGCAAACGTTTGTGTCGTAAACAACAATACAGTGTCAGTACCTTATTCTTCACCAGGTGTTCAATAGTTGTCTGTGAATTCATCTTCTCCACCAGGAGCGAACTGTGGCGGCGCAGACGTTGAAGTTTCACCAACGACATGCCTGGAAACACAACAGAAATATGCACCATCAAGTATCAAAGACGTTTTGAATTTTGATTTTCACTTCAAAGGTCAAGGTCGTTAATTACGTTCAGAAGACGTACAAAACTTTATACCGTGACTTTCGTCTTTGAATCACTCATACATGCAACATGTAGGAAACTTTAAGCAACGCGTTGTGGTGATAGAACAGAGCGAATCATACTCCCCACAAACAGTATCTATTTCGCACATTTAAACTCTACTACTATTACTCTCTGCAATCCATCCAGTGCTAGAGTATTGTTTACCTGGATGTCTATCTAACCTTCACCAAAGTATCTATTTATCGTTGACGATGGACAAGCGCCGGTATAACTGTCCACAGACTCCACACTCACCTGCCTTTCCTGCAGACATCCCAGCGTTTATTGCGGCTCCACTCCCCTTCATGGCGGCTCCACCCAAGGCAGCTCCACCCAAGGCGGCTCCACCCAAGGCGGCTCCACCCAAGGCGGCTCCACCGGCCAAGGCGGCCCCACCCGCCGCCAGAGAAGCGCCCTTCATCCCCATGGATCCAGATGGTAGTCCACTCCCCAGGGCCAAGGATTCGTTCATGATCCCAATAGAACCACCCTTGACCCCGCCGAATCCACCCTTGATGCCAGCAGATCCCCCTTTGATGTCGGCGGATCCTACATCCATATCCAGACCCGGTTTGACGATCTCCTGGCTTGGCCACTCGGGCTTCTCGAGATCACCACCGACGGCACCGCCGCAGCAAGGGGCGCACATGTTTTCGCAGGCTGCTCCACACGACCCACAGTACGTCCCACACAGACCAGCGCGGCAGCAGCAACAGCAACAACAACAGCACTGAAACAGCACAACAGAATGTTATAGGTACTAAATATATGAATGATCTGTGTGTGAAAGTGGCCTCAACACACTTCTGGTGGTCCTTAAAATTAAGTTTTGCAAAGGTGGACACAAGTGCAGGGTTGGAGAGTACTAGTATATTGTAATTTGAACTTTACCAGCATCAAAAGCAAAGGTAGCAGCAGAAGAGGCAACAACCAGGCGAGCAATGGCACTCCAGCGCCGCCTGTACGGACACCGCCTCCGCCTCCTCCTCCTCCCCCGCCGCCGCCTCCGGGTGCTACCGTGGGGTTCACACCGCCGACGATAGGCGCGCTGTATGGGCCGGGCACGCCTTCGTCTGTTGTGGCTCGGACCTTTAAAACGGCGAATTCAAAGTAGATCGTACGAATGGGAACTTAGATGCCATATATCAATCCACGTATTTTAACAATACCTGTAATGACATATATTGTGAGACCTTTTTTCTCCATTTTAATCGTTTATCACTCACTCACTCGCTCTCTCGCCCACTCACTCACTCACTCACTCTCACTCACTCACTCACTCACTCACTCACTCACTCACTCACTCACTCACTCACTCACTCACTCACTCACCCACTCACTCACTCACTCACTCACTCACCCACCCACCCACTCACTCACTCACTCACTCACTCACTCACTCACTCACTCACTCACTCACTCACTCACTCACTCACTCCTTTTTGGCACCAAGATGTCAGATAAAATGAGTAACGCCAAGTACCTGATACGTGTAGTCCTCTATGTTTCCCAGATTACTAATTGTGGTGGGCAAGCCGTCTGGGCCGGCCACATTGGCCACCTTTTTGTTCGGACCGTTGGGCCCCTCGTCTGTCGGGAAGTACAGAACCTGGTACCCGTTCACCGTGCCGAAACTGTCCGGCTTCGAACCGTCTATCGTCACCCAACCGTCTCCCTTGTTAACCACCCTGGCGTCAGTCATTTTCTTTGGAGCTGAGAACAGGGCAGGAGAAATACGAGTATGTCAGTAAGGATGCGGAGTGAACACGACAGTTATCCGTGCTATGCAAAATCATTGTTTCAAGAAATACCATTTCAACTTTGCGAACCTTACCTCCAACCCTGGCCTCTGAAAAGCTTGTTGTGCTGCCATATATGTTGGTGGCGATGCACTGGAACGAACCGGTGTCCTGTGGTTGGGTGTCCGGAATTCGAAGTGTCGTTCCTGTGGGCGATTTGGTGATGGTATACCTCCCACCGTCCTGTACTGGCTAATGATAGAATGGGAAAATAAACTTGATATCTAGATCATTAAAGGTGATCGATGATTAGGGCCAGTAATCTTTTAATAACAATTTATCCAAAAGCGGAAACCTTCAGCTTTTTTTCGTATGTTTCTTGTCTACACCAACGACGTAGAGTGTTGCACGCAAATAAAAATTATCAAAAATTCAGTGCTTATAAATTGTACCTTAGAATGTTTTCAGCGTAGCTAGACAGGAGATAGAACACTAAGCATTATTAAACAAATGCGTCATCAGACGTGAATGATCAGTAGCGACCTTACCTCCCCATTGTGATACCACTGTGAGGAGACAGGCGTCCTGCTCGTCTCCCATCCCATGTTCAGGTTTATGTCTTCTCCCACTCCGTCGTTATGGTTCTGCCCAGCCAGGCTTTGGGTCAGTTTTGGTTTATCTTTGTAAGAAACAAGAGGAAAACTTGCTAATGAAGATGATAATGGCGAACCTGACGATCGCGCATCATCACCAAATGGTGTGCTATCCGATAGGATAGTCCTCACAAATGTGTGCACATCATTGAGCGGAACAGTTTACTAGAAATACAATGTCAAAAGTATCAAACATGCTAAGGCCTACTTTCCTTATCATTGGATAGAGACTCTATAAAGTGTGTCAAGATGTTCAAACTCACTTTCCACTTCGAGCTGAGTGACTGCGGTGTCCGAGCCCTGTGAGTTGGTGGCCGTCACCTCGTAGAAGCCCTCGTCTGCCACGGTCACATTGCTGAGGGCGAAGTTCCTGTTGTACCTTTCCATGGTGCCTCTTGCCGGCATGGACAGCTGCCTCGCACCGGCACCAGCGCTTTGTAACCGACGCCAACTGTACGTGGGCGTCGGGCTGAGACAAGATAAGACAAAAATCATACCTCTGCCTGTTTTATCTGCTCTTGACACACAGAGCAAGAAGTTTCCAATAGGCAAAGAACTTGCTTTGAGTGCTTGTGACTTAGTCCTTTAATACGGTAACGTTTGCATCAAACACTAACTATAATTTCTTGTTGAATACATGGAGGCGTGGCGAGTCATATCGAGGTACTAGAGACCCGGACCATGCCAATAGTTTTCTTAATACCTGACTAATGTAATGTCTTAACATTTTGGAGTTAAACTATATGTACCAGAAATATTTTCGAAAGGCAAAAACTATTGACCCAGGAACTTCACTATTTGATGCCAGTTTTAGCGCTCGGTGTAGGCAGTATTCTGTATCAGTACGTACTTCCCGTAGGCGAGGAACTCTATCAGCGCGTCACTTCCTTCCTCGGCGTAGATTACGTCCTCATTCAGCACTATCTGTGGGGAGCTCACTGGGGTTGAACCTACAGAGACGTGTTGAGTATGTTTTTTTTTCTCGATATAGTTCACAATCGTCAATTCCTGCAGAAATCTCATGTGGTCCAGGCCACGCTGTATTTTGTCGTTTCAATTATTAAAATTTCAAGAATGACTTCCACAAAAGTACTGGTAGAGAAATTACCATAACATTCAAGATCCCTTCAATATTTGGGTCATTAAGATGCATTAAATACCCCTTACAACAACACGGGATTGTGAGGAATTTGTAGGAGATTGACCTTGTATTGTTCCCAGACTTACTTCGTGCCGCCACATCCAGCCTGGTGGAGCCGCTCACGTCACTAAAAGCGGCGTCCTTCCTCGTGCTCAGCCTCACCGCACACTGGTATCCCCCGGTGTCTCTGTCGCTGATGACGTTGGAGAAGTAGAGGTCTCCGGTTTTCTTAGACACGTAGGCCCGTTCTTGGATATTCGTGTCGTCATCGCTGTTAGGGTCAGGAATGAACTCGTTGGATTCGTGATCTATCCACTCGTAGGAGAGTCCTGTAGGAAAGGGGATTAAAACAAACAACCAACGGCTGATGTCACCACCAACAACAAACAACACCGAAAACAAAACCTCCGTACACGGATGTAATGATGGTAGCTACATTTCTTTGTCCTTATATATTCTCTAGGGAATCCACTCTCACCTGGGAACGCGGCCGGAGGGTCACACACCAGTTTGGCCCCGTCACCCTGTGACGAGGAGGCGCCGGGTCTTGCGACGCCGGCCGGAAACCGGTTTGAAACTGGGGAGCAGTAGACATTAACAGGTCATACTCAAGTCATGTCAAGTCAAGTCAAGTCAAGTCGAAGTTTATTGCACAACAATTGTAACAGGTACAATGCTTCTGTAGTAATTTGAGTCCAACTGATCATAATGCAACAGTTCTTCTAGACTCCAGACTAAGCACATGTCATTATAAGAAGAATGTGTGATAATTTATCACTTGATCGAAGTACCAGTTTTGTCACATGATTGGCTTATCATTGATGATGCCGAAAATCATGTTGATGACTGTCATCTCTGTCATCTGAGACTGTCATCTCTGTCATCTCATCAACCTTGACTTACAAGCAAATCGCAGACTGCCGCTAACACTTCTGACCCGACCATACTCGTTGAAAGCCTCGCACTGGTAGGTTCCGCTGTCTGTGTCTGCTGTCGGCTGGAGGATGGTCAGGATACCGCCGTCTGCGCTGAACTGGTACCGGGAATTCTGGGAAGGAATATTCAAATCTGACTTATCATCACAGCATTAGATTTCTAGATTCACCATTACATCACTAGACAAACAGAGCTGGGCACGTGTACTGGGATAAAATGCCTGCCTACTACCAGACGGTTGTGGCCCTAAAATGTTACAAGGAAAAGCATATCACGGCAAGAGGTCATCATCCGATCTCGGTGAGCTATCATAAGCAAGTAAGTAGACTCCATGAAATATACTACCGTAGGTATTCACAGCAATCGCATTGCCAGTAGATTGATATGGTTTGCTGATGAGGTCATCTTGATATAACACCATAGGAAAACATACTTTAATGCCACAGGGTTACTTTAAAAATGCCTGAGAAAAATTAGATGCATATTTTACAAAATAGTATTACCGTTAGCCTGACTAAATCGCGCTCCTGGCGGCCGCCGCCCTGGGTCATTAACCTCCAGCCGAGAGCTTGTGTATACACAGGCTAGTATTACCGTTATCATCATGAAGATGAACGTAAATTCCCGTTACTAAATCCTGGAAATGCAGACTCTAATTTCCCTATAATCTTCAGACAGTAATTCACTCCGATTTGTGTAGAAATATTGTTCTGGATACCTGGTTTATTTGGGTCCCATTCCTCCTCCAGATGTACTGTGGTGCCGGGTCCCCTAGCGCCGCGCACTCGAACCTCACCGTAGTGGCATCTTCTTGTGGATCAAAGGTGACTTTGCCGGGCTGTTTGAACAGTCGAGGAGCGGCCAGCTGGTCCGCGGGGAGCTCAGCTTCATGTGCGAAAGAAAAGAAAGTGACCTCATGGGAATGTGACTACATATATTACAGCATCTCTGCCACAAAGGTAATCCAGTTTCGCATGCAGGTGTAAAGAAATACATACTAGGTACAGTTTTCCTGATACACCTCAAATTTATTCGGTGTTTGACCTAAGCATGCATACCATTGAACAAGTGATCGAATTTATTTATATATACACGTGTCTGGTAGCATTGTATGTAAGAGGAGTCACCATACTGTTATCTTTTCTACTCTGCACCTACACTTTCACAGTCCTCCAAATAAATTATCCACATCCTCTGATATTTTAAGTTTGCAAGCTTGTCTTTTCTATAAAAGACGATAATGCGATTTTGAATGGATGGCATTGCCAAACTAGTAATCAGCCTGTAAACATTCTAAATGACCTTTATCGAAATTCTAAACCGATGTTATTGACAACATCAATTTCACAAAAGTACCTTAAAACACCTGCAGCGGTATTATACCTTCTGGTGATTTGCTTTTAATCCGTTTCAAGTTGATATTCTAAAAACTTCAGTTGAAAACATGTTTTCATAGCGTGCCCTTGACACCTGATTCATCGTGACCCGACAGAGATCCAGACTCAGCCAGTCCTGGCCGTTGCCGGACCGGTTTGGGTGTGTGTGACTAAGTTTTAGCGTCGTTTGGCTGATGCAATTTCGTTCATTCGATTTGAGCTAACAGATGTGGAAAGGTCAAAAGACATGGCGTTTCCTTCCGTTGTTGTTCAATCATCGTCGCGTCATCTGAGTCATCTAACCGTCTCAACCGTCGCGAGGATTTAAAGTCCATGACAATGGGGTTGAGTTCATCATACACAGGGCAAGGGCAGTCATTGGAAGGAATGGTTCATGTTTTCAAACAACAGATAACCACAGAACATGAAGCAAAGTACTGTGTGACCGATCTAATCGTTAACACTGACACGTTTCTGTGATACGGATATCATCGAGAAAATTCCCGTTTTATTTCTAGATCTGTCTAACATTTATCTTCAGCAATCTTCTAAACCACATACACTCTACATTTGAACTTGCTTTCTGACTCTTTTCACTGAGTCAGGACAGGGCATGTTCCATTGGTTTTGCATGAAGTATACATTGAGCCATTTGTGAGCAGTACGTATCTATGCCTGAAACCACCCCTATTGGCCGATTCAAGGTAATGTCTGTACATTAGTTGATATAGGGGGAGGGGAGTAGCATCATCGTATATCCATCTTTTACGCCCAAGTTGTCCCAACAACAATGGAAAATAGGCTCTGTAAGTGGTACGTTATCTTACGTTTCATCTCGCGAATAGATTCGATAAAAGTCTGCTAAGAAGCCTAGCCTGCCACAACGAGGACGCCAACGGCGCGGTTTTGTAAACACGTAAGTTAACGTTATCTTCAAAATCCAAGCTCCTTTCTTTCACCAGAATCGCTTTCAATATAGTCCAATCCGGAATAAAGTGTCTTCGGCACGCCATAAGCAAATGAAAGGAAAGAGAAGGAAAATTTTTAAGAGATGTATTTGTTTGACTGAAGACCAACATTTGGTAGAATGCGATATGTCGTTATATTTAAGTCCCAAAAGTCACCAACGAATTGGCAATGTGTAAAAACAGCTGTTGGAATAACTTGGATATTGCTGAAAAAGTCCCAGAAACGAAATATGAAATATTGGGTGGGACAGAGACGAACAGAGTACGGCCCCTATGAAGGGGAGTCGGCATCGAAGAGGAACATACTGTTCCTGTTACCGTCTCCCCTCAGAATTTTAACTTTGTAAAATTCTGTGAAGTGGAATAAATAATAATAAAAAAAAACATGCACCATGAATGGGTAGCGGATGCATCAACTGCAATATAGAATACTACCTGGGTCAGGTGAATAGAGACCTTGGGGCTAGCACTGTCCTCGACCTTACATTGATTTATGTTCTTACACTCCTGGCGTTTGAAGTGACCCTTATAGAAAACACTTTTCGCCGTTATTAACTCATCTGTCATGCGATCTTACAAGAGGGGATGAATATTCTGCGGACCACAGACTACAAATGTATTTTGCAGACGGAGACTGATTAAAAACTAGGGCGAGTCTGAAAAAAATTAAATGTCACCAATGTCGCTCGACAAGGCGACAGTACATTGTTATCTGGCACACGGAATAAATTTAAATAAATTTTCTAGGCTGATTAGAAGGAGTATCATACACCTTAAACACTGAAGCGACAACAAGACATTCCAGTCTGCACTTTTAACAAAGACTTTGGGAAGGAAGGGGGTAGACACACAGGGAGGATACGTTGGAGACGGTGCAGATTTAGAGGCTTAGTACAAGGGCCTACTCTTTAAAAAGCTGATGAAAGTCTGCGTCCGTCATATTCGAGTAACCACGCGAAGCAGAGGTTTTTTTTTATTTTTTTTTATTCATTCACATGAAAAAAGGATACAGGACATGGTGATGCCTCACTCAAGTGGAAAGCACTTATGTTGACGGCACCACTAAATAAATACATATAATAAAGAAAAGAAACAATCGCAACTTTAAGACAGGCAAAGAACAGTAAATACAAGAAATTCAAGAGCGCAGGTCCGGTTCCCCACCCAATGATAAATGATGGCAAAGAGGACACAGTACATAAATAACAAAGGGGGAAATTGAAATCTTTTAAAAACGTTCTGATGTGGTGATGAAGTTTTGGGTAAGTGATAATATATTGGAGTTAACAACTGATGAGAATGCGGTACTGCCACGGAGTAAAAGGTCAGTTTTTGCGTTGTCAGAAAGAGTTGTAAAATCTAAGGTGTGTCCTATGAGCCTGGATAGTTTGCCAAGGAGAGTAGATCGTTGGGAGTTGTACATGGGGCAGTGGAGTAGGTAATGTGGGACGGTTTCACATTGGCATCCGCAGGTACAAGCTGGGCTGTTCAATAATCCACGAGTAAAGAGACTGTAGTTCAGGCTGCACGTGCCAATGCGAAATCGTGCCATAAGAGCACCAGAATAACGAGGACCGTGACTAAAGTACTTAAATTTAACAGGCCTTATTGATTTGAGAAGAACTGAACGAAATTTAGAGTAATTTAGGGATCGTGTTGACAAGTCAAGGTTGTTCCAGTAGAATGTAGAATATTGAACAAAAGAATTTGCAAACCGGTTTGTAGAATGACTAAGGGGTCTTAGGTCCATGTGCTGAGGTTTGCAACAGGTAGTCTGGTATACCGAATGATTTCCAGTCGATGTCAGTATAGAGTGGGGGAGATAACAGCACTTTTTCAACAAATGATCACACAAAGTATATGTTTGCAGAATACAGTCTGGTGCACTGGAGGATTTTAAGTCAATACCAGTCTACCCGACGATACTCTAGGCAAACAAAGTTCACAAAGGATCCAATCACAGTAGATCCAGGTGCTCAGACAGGAAAAGAATACCCAGGTCAGAGCTCTTATGTTGGGGAAGGTCACTGTAAATTATGACTCTACATGAGTGTCTACATGACGGTTGGGTTGGTCGTTAACTATAAAGTTACTTAATTTGAAAATTTCAGTTACATGTAGATATGAAAAACCGTTAGACATTCACAGCGTAGTGCACAAAGTAACTTTAAATACAGATAGAGATGTACTATAAAAAGGTGCAGGCCTTATAATCCAAACATATACAATGATAAATATATACGTACAAACGTAAAGGCAGGGCACAATGCCAATTGGTTAATGCAATGACATTGTCGTTAGTAAATGCAATAGAACAAAAGCTAGGAGTTAAGGCTTTTCGGAACATTCTTACAAATAAGAAAGGTCCATACTTTCTATGTAGGCATTTAGGACTTGAAAGGAAAATTCACCAGCATCTAATCGTGTTTTGATGATATTTCCCACATACCGTGATAATGGCAAAGTAAACATTAAACAGATCTACTTACTTCCATCCACCACTGCCAGGCAGGCCACCAGTGGGATGAGACACAGCCAGCTCATCGGGACAATCTAATGTAAAAATACAGGCACTGGTAAAATGGTAGAATACGGTCCCTATTAGAAACATGCGTCCTGCCTCCTTCTTGTCACTCCTAGTTCAATGTCGTCAACCGTCATTTACTATAGGTTTAAAACCTATAGTAAACTTTATGAATACCTCTTCAATTCCTATCAAACGATACTTAGGAAGATAGCAAATGGTCGATATTGGAACACTCGTGCGGTAACAGCTAATTACATCTAACAAAAATAGAAAATGCCATCACGTACTCGAACCCTCCCACTTGGCAACATTCACACCACAGGGGTGTTATCAACTGTTTAAACGAAAGCAATAGGTATAGCATAATAGACCCGTGCCACTGGCAGAACACCAAAGGGTACATTGACCTGCTTAAGTGTGTGAACATTCACATGTGAATCCATACTATATGCGTTTGTTTACGTTTGATATCTGATAGTACTCTACTTTGACCTTGGCATGTTCTATTATTCCTCAAGACAACTGTACAATGTAGTTCTTTGCAGACAAAGCCGTCTTGGTAACTATCCACGGTGAACTATCAGGTGATGCGCCCATATTGTAATGCCCTGTGCGGCTGTCCATACTCTCTTGATCGACAGACAAAATCCCGGGTTGGGGCCAAACCAACATGCGCCCTGTTGGTCTTATCTTGTTTTACGGTGCACCGAACATGGCCGTCTGCCACAGTACAGCAAGACTGTTTTTCCGATATAGGAGCTTTGCCGTTCCCAGAACAACGAAACAATAAACAAGAGACACATCATGATGATCCTCAAGGACCGTCTTACCTGGTGTTTTCGAGAAGCAGACTCCAATTTCCCGACTGGTACAGAGGCGGGGTATTTCACCTATAAACTGTCACAGTGTGTTCACTTTCCAGGTGTGCAATCACTGGTGATGACCTTAACTTAAGAAGCGTCTACCACACCCACGATGACTGGTCTATACCAACGCGTAAGGTCTGAGGGATTTTACGAAATGTTGTTGTAACCTACATGTTCACCGATGCCCACCGCTTTGTTATGGAGAAACAAACAATTATGTACTTGTTTTCCAACATCAGTTGCGTGTACCTAAAGGCAAGAATAATCTGTTTGACGATCTCTCATTGGGCCATGTTCTGCATGTTCCCCTACGGTTACTAGCCGGAGGCTAGCAGACACCTATTGTTCTTCGTCCAAATTAGTCTTCTGCGACCAACTTAAAACTATTGAGCAACATATTGGCAATGTGACAACTGATGACAGACATACGGAAATTATAATCTGGATAAAACGTCGCATTCCAGAAGCTTGTTTGGGTTGTGGATGACATGGATATATTCTTCTTCGATGTTATTTTATCAATGTGGAACAGACCCCAGGCTAAAATATTACAAGTGAACTGGATCGACATTATACTAGCTGCTATCAATGTGTGACAGACACAACGGTGTTCATGAACTGATAATAATACAATAATAGCTGATGACCTCACGCTCGGTCTTAGGTCGAGCGCCTTCGCACGTCACATTGCATGTCATGAATACTAATGAGATATGTACAAATTATTACAATCGTAATGGTAACGTTGGATTTGATGTCTCAATTTTCGATAACGAATTTAAAAGTGCGGTGTGGTTTCTTCTTTACAGAGACCGAGGAATAGGAATAAAGGGATGTGTCTAGTGTTTAAAGCGGCGATGACATTGTTTGAGGGTAGGAATGTAACTTTTCATATCAGTCCATCATTCACGTATACACTGCTAACGTTACATATTTATACGCAGATAACAGCAGGTAGATAATTTACTGTTGGAGTGTCATCACGCGATTACTCGTACCCGTCCACCTACACGTTAAAGCGCGCTTTAATTATTCATTCTCTCATATCCGCCAAGAAGCGGCCGAAAAGGTTTTAGACAGCGCACCTTCGTCGTTAATGGTCTCTCCCAGACTGTGGGCTTTAAATTATGAATGGCAATACGCCTTGTTTAGGTGTTATTGTAAACGTAATACGTACATTTACGTGCATTGCAAGTATTGAGATTTTGAACACCGAAGGGTGAGTGGACTTAGCTCAAACTTCAAAATAAGGACTTATTTTCTTAAAGGCAAGCCTTGAAGGCCGTGTTGAGCTCCCTGCAAAATGGCGGGATTTTACTGGCCTTCCGACACACCCGTTCCCCTTTCATCATAAGCGCTGCGCTGAAGTTAACCATGGAGGTAACCCGCCCCCTTTCTTGTGTACACCTCTGTCGCTGTGAGTCATGTTCGTCTGGCCGAGTCGATTCTAATGAGAGGGTACTTCTAATGAGAGGGCACTCTTCACCGAAGCGTTTAACGATTCCCAAGTCTATCCAGTGTGTGTGTGCCGAAAAATGACAGTGATTGATTTAGGCACTGAAGTCTTGCCTGTTGGAGATGGATCTCTCTTGATGTCAAAAGACAAACTTCTTGGTTTATATAACACGTCAAAAGTACATGTAGGATATGTACACATAGGTAGTCACAAATAAAGCGCGCGTTTTTTTTTCAAAACAAGTTTGTGGCCTCGACACCCCTGAGTTCGAGACAAATATTTGTTAATTGAGGGTGTGTGGGTTGCAGGGGTTCAAAGGTGCATTACATGCAGAAAACGCATTCTTATGCCTCTGTCAAAACATCATGTGACCACAAACTGTATCAATCATCAAAGCAACATAACAAAACTGTCATTCATGTGAGGAAAACACTTGTAAAAGTGGCCGAAAAGGCTTTATCAGGAATGAAGACAATAGAATCTACATGCGGACATACTATAAGCCAACATATAATATATTATTGAATCTACAATATACACATGGTATTATCGGCATGCTTGAAGTGGAAAAAACATAATATGGCTTCATGTTCATAGACTACATTTCATAAGTACATTTAAGGCCCAAATTCGTTACTAAAACTGAGTGTACTGTTAAACAGGTAATAATCAAAATATCGATTTTCTCTCAATGGTTATCACAAAGTTTACTTGATTCACAACACATTTGGTCACTAGACAGTGCACTTATCAGTGCACATATTTCAACATCTTAATGTATCATTCTGAATTACAAACCTCCCTGCCATTCAATTCTTGTAAATTGTTAAATACACTGTACTACTACATAGAGGATATACATGTATGTCTGATATTCTGGGTCTAGATTGCTCAGTTAACAATCAGTAGCCAGTGAACTCATCATATATGAAAAAAAAGTAAACTACAAGTTGGCATCAAAATCAAGTCCTAGTATTAAATACTGTATTAACTTTAATGATGGCAAAGCCCTAATAAATACATGTACGTACATGTATTAAGATGTCCCCACACTGGACACATTAGGAAGAAGCCATACGATTGTTATGGCTTTAGGCCACACTGACCCGGCCATAGGGATGACATCTGCACACACATCTATTCCTGCAAGTTTTGAGATTAAGAAATCATGGCATGCTGCTCTGGAACTATATACAGAGATTTGTGACAAGGCCATGGCAGGATCATTGTTGACTGGTATACCATTGATGTAGGACAAGGCTGCATCGGACAAGGTTTGGGTGATTCACTGAGATTTCAAAGTTTTGGCTGGCTTGAATCAGTTTTTGGGGTGTCCAGAGGCTGTCTTCCATAAATTGTCAATTTGACCTTGGCTATAAAAGACAAGGTCCATTCTTTTGTCATACTTTGGTCACAGAACATGTGCTTTGAGAAAATACAACAAATCGTATGCTTTGACAAATACCTGAGTTTATATCAGTTGCCACACGACTCGGAGTGGAGGATAAAATCACTTGACATTTTTTTACAGTAGTCTTCTACATAAAAATACCCTCCTGTTTGCTATTTATCATCATCATCATTGTCTGCTACAAATAAACATAGGTAATATACTCACTAGGTATATACTCACTAAATGTACAGTATAAATGTTGCATGTCTAAATGTATAATCTCTTTGTCTCCTGTACCAAACAATTACCATGAAAGCTACAAGTCCTTTGTATGTAAAGCTTGACTAGATCTTTATCTGTGATGTCCTTATACCCCAAGTTATAATCTTGTCAAGACACAATTAAATATGCTGCAACATGAGCACAGCAGAATGATAGAAGGCATCTTTTACATAAAATGTAGTAAATGTCCAGTACAAGCTACAGAGAAGTTTCTATTTCTGCTAAAGATGGCTCTGATACCTGTTTGGGGACACCACTTGGATGTTCCTGGTTGTTGTCAGCATCATGCAACTGTTGACACTCCTCTGCCCTACGCTCTGTTTCCATGGCAACCTGCTCAGGCAGACACTGGCACATCCACCGGCACACGGGCGAGATTGTCCTGGGGTCTAGCCTCCTACCCCGTGAGCATCCCGTCAGGAAGCTGACCAGGAGACCAATGATGATGACCACAGCCGCTCCCACCAGACTGTACCACAGGTAGGACAGGCTGTAGATGCTGCTCACAGGGAAAGTCTCTGTGCCTGTCGTCACGTTTGTCGGTGCAGCAGTTGTTTCCATCCCAAGGCTGGATACAGTAGACTGTATGGTTTCGTTGGCCCGACTCCAAATGATTGTAGAGTTTGATGCAAAACTGTAGCACGACATAGGCACTTGTGGTGCAGGGGGTGCAGGAGCAGTGTAGCGGGAGACAAATGCACCAATGCCAATCCAGAGTGATACAGCGAGGCCGCTGAGAAGGCCAACAAACGCACCAATGGCATTGGCACAGGGACAGAACATGCCCAGGGAGAAGAGTCCAAGCAGAGGACCACCCACCAGGCCAAACACACTCAGAGCAGCCTGTAGCAGAGAAAAATGATGTTGACTCTGTGATGCATGATACAAAAAATTATGCATTTACATTTGTTAAAAAGTAAGTAACGTTACATACACTAAAATATACATCTTGCATTCTGGTGGTAAGTTTGAGATACAGGTATTACAAACCTGAAACAGAGCCATCTAGCAGAAATACTAATAACTACATACAACTTTTTAAAAATTCTTACAAGACTGCCACTTTCTGACAAACTTTTAGAATAAACAAGACAGGGCTTGAGCAAAGTTGAGGTAAGAGTACAGATGATAATCAAAGTCTGGTTCTAACCTGCAGAACTCCTCCCATCTGAGAGGCCACCCAGGCCATGGCCATACAGACAACTCCATAAGCAAAAGCCAGCCCTTTACTGATCCATGTAATCTGGGTAAAAGGACAAGTACATGTTAGGTACATTACAGTCCATCACCAAACAATTTCCCATTGGTCTATCTTCCAATCAACCATTTTGAATGCACAGGGCAAACAATCCAAAGACTACCCTAAGATAATTTTTTCATAATATATGGGTGGCACTATATTCTACTTGTATGAAATAAGAATGCTCCAAAACTATCAATGGGGAAAAAAGGAAGATTACTCAGCAAGGAGTGATAGTTACTGTAATACAAGAAGTGTTGAAATGATTATAATACCTTCGTCTCAGACATGTCCTTGGTGAATGGTCGGATGACATCTTCCAGAGTAACAGCAGCCAAGGAGTTGAGAGAAGAAGAAATGGTGCTGAGGGCACCACTGTAAACACAAGGAAAAAGACGTCTTGTTTAAGGTCTCCATGTCATGATTTCTAGAGAAGGATATCAACCTCAAGTTGGCATATATAAATACCGGTATATAATAATCTATAGAATACCGGATCTATAGAAGGAAGGCATGTCATACCACTGTGTTTGAGAACAACAAGATCAACTCAAGTTCCATAAGCTTCTGCATCTGTAGGGACAGTACATAACACAATATACTTCAGACGTTGAAACTTATCTGAATATGCTCCTGAGCTACATATAATTACCTGAAGATGCAGGCTACAAATAAACCAGGCATGCCAGGCAGAGACCTCATGATCTCCATCACAAATAGTGGCAGCAGCTGGTCATAACTGTTGATCTTACCCATGGCCTGAGAGTGAAACACAGAAAATGTGTGGAGATTTAAAAATCATATGCCGTTTTATATATATAATAGTGTGCAACAACCATAGTGATTTTGGTCAATGTTATTTCATAATTTATAGAGATGTATCTATATGATACACATAGCGAATAGAACATAGCTCCCTCATAATGTGTTAAAAGTTGTGCAGTTAGAGCGCTTCAAACAGAAGAGACTAAGCAAATATAACTAACATACAACAAGCAAAGCTAGGTGGATATTCTTACTATTAAACATTGTCTAAAGTGTGTAAAGCTCACCTTGGGGTCACAGTCCGCATACCGTGCGTACATGACGAGACCAATCAGACAGCTGAGCAGCAGAGTGAACAGCAGAGTTGGTGCTGTCACCAGCAAGGTCACCTTAGCTGCTCGCTCAGACTTTACACTCAGATACCTCTGTACCTGCAATGTTTCATTCATCATCAGGGTGAAAATGGCTGACAAAAGTTGCTTCATCTTGTAATCACCTGTATTTGTAATAATGACAAAAATTCATCTAAAAAGGGGGCTATGTTTTTTGGTACTTGTATTATTGCCTTCGACTGAAGGCTATGCCTTCGGAGAAGGTTATGAAATCGGGTTTGCACTGTTTGGCAGATTAGGCACGATAACTCTTGAAGGCAAGGTCCGAGGTTCACGATTTTTGGCAGGCAGGTTGATTTAGGGGTGGCCATTGTCAAGGCTAAAAATGGGCTTCGTGGGGGGTTCCTAAGTCACTGTAGTTGACCTTGGTTTTTGGTGTTTTTTCCTTGTCATCAAGATATCTCGAGAATCCTTAAATGGATGTTCATTATTTTTAGTGGGCAAGTTACCGTTGAAAATGCCGAGGTCAAGTTCAAAG